GTGAGGTGGGGGTTTTGTTTGAAATAGTCTCTTGATGCACTAGAAGGGGCATCAACTTCCAAACTTGATTTTAACTAATGCCCTGGTCAACTTTTAAAATGATTGTGTAGAAGTGTGCAAAACAAACCAATCCAATGGCAATCTTCTAAACTGTCTGACTGGCATGGTACCATCCTAGATTCTCTCAAACCAAAGATTTGCCTCAGCGCTGCAGAAAACTTCTACTCTGTGAGCCCCCTAACCCTCAAGATTATCTTTATGAGAAGCAGTTTTTATTTTCAATACAGGCTTTAATGAACTATACCTTATTAAGTTCCAAAGGTCAAAATGGAGACATTTGCTGTCTACTAGTCAAGTAAAGAAAGGGAGCTGCTTTTAATGAAATCCCTGAAAATATTGACAACAGTAATGCAAATGGAGAGTGCTCTTGTGTAGATTGTCAGGGACTTTTTTTCTCTGAAGTCCATAATAATTATAGTTGGAATGTTCCTTTTAATTTTTTTAATGCTTGTTAGGTGGCTTGGGGTGTGATATTGTGCCGATCCTACCCAGTAAATAGGTGAGATGGGTTAACATTACAAGAAATAACACTGTTTGAGAACTAGCTTTGAATAATAATTTTCCCTTTGTACATGACCTGCTGAATTTCGGTACAGTGTTTTTGTAGCTAACTTATTTTGTCATGCACATAATGTATATTTGTTATGCACTACTTTTGTATATCTTGTTTTTCCAACAGTGAGCATTTTTAGGCACACTTTTCACTGACGGGATATCTCTTTATGCAATACCTCAATTTTTCATATTGCAAAGAGTAGCTTTTTGTACTTTTATTACTGAGAGATCTTCATATACTTCATTTTTTAATATAAATAATTTTAATAAATTTTATTTTCTTATATTCTGCTTTTTATACATTTCAGTGCTCTGCATACATTTTGAATTATGGATGTTGTGCACTGGCAATGCTATTTTAGAATCTGCAGAGAAAAGAAAGCATGTTGCTTAAACATCTTAGCCCAGCACCATGTATTTGGTGTACATATAATTTAAGAAATAGTATATGTAAAGTTGAGAATTAAAGAAGAAAAAAAGCATGAAAGTGACAAATGACAGTCTTTAGACCCTCAAAAATTAAATGCATAAGTGTAGTGTAGAAATTTAAAAGTAAAGTAACATCAAAATTGTCTACCGCTTCTTACTAAGTTTTTAAAAATTATACACAAATGCAGATGTTTTTGGTGAATGTTTAGCCATTTTTAATATTAATAACAAATTGATGTTAGGTGTTTGATGCAGAAAGGTGTCTGCTCTTTTAAATTATATTTAAAGAAATAAAAGCAAGCCTGCTATGTGGCAGGCATGTAATGTTAGTATGCATGACTAATGTAAGAAACTGTTATTCTACTAATATTCACTTGTGATTGTGTGACAAGCGTGTTTACAGATTATTTGGTTACACTTCAATTTACAGGGCATAAACAATTACATATATTACTCTGTACTTAGATAGTGATTACATGTCCTTTTGATTACATGGGATTTGTAGTTGGAGTTACCATGTCACTCCAAACATAGTTAACATGCAATTAGCTTACAAATCTTCGGGTATCACTTCAGTTTGCAAAAGGGTTAAGCCTGTAGTTCTATCACGCTAGCATGGCACTGGCCATGTATTTACAATGTAGTTACAGAGTAATTACATGGTTATTTTTGCAGTGTAAAATAAAGTGTTTCTGATTACTTTATATGTAAAGGACCCCCCACTGCCCCATGCTTTTTGGTATAGTATATACTTCTCCATACACAGACCTCTGCAGAATGCAAATTTAAAACTTGCAGTGAATGAATCTAGCGTTTTATAAGGATGCTGTTGGAAAGACTTGATAATTCACCCCTTTTGTTTTTGAAGAGTTAAAACCTTCTGTTAAAAGGTGATTTAAAACTTGAATGTGATGAATTGTGGCAAGTTAACTTCAAGTTATGTGCAATACTTATTTCAGACTTCTGGAAGATCTTTGCAGTGTAATTCTTTGTTTTTAATTGCAGACATTTAAAAATGTCATTTTCTACTGTTCTAGTAAATCCTCTTTCTTGCTGGTGTTTCTAAAGAAAAGAATCAGAAATCAATCTTTCTACTAATGTAAATTTGAGATTATTTTTAAAAAAAGGAATAAAAGAGGTTTGGTCATTTGCTTTATTTTATTATCTTATTTTAAAGCTACTGTGATTGATAGCATTGTAAGAATTGGGACAATATTGTATTCAACTGTTTTATTTTTTATATTTTTAAATTTTAAAGTATAATTAGTTTTTATAATTTTCATCAGATTTTTTTGTTATATTTTTTGGACGTGAAACTTTTAGCAAGTGGGTGTCTAGTTTTTACTAATCCCTAATATGTTTTCCCCCCAATGTATTGCTCATATTATCAGAAGGAAAAGTTATTTAAGTATGTCAGTTAATTGTACTACTTGGCTGAATTTCCATATAGTTTTTACTGTGTATGGGGAGGTTGTAGTATTTATTATAGCATTTTAAATAAGGGTAATTCATTTTTTATTAAAGTAATTTTCACATTTAAGTTCATATTTTTGTATGTTCTACTCTAAGTTATATAACACAAGTTACTTTTTTTAAAGAGTTCATTTGTTGAAGTGCTAGTGGAAAATTAATGTTATTAAATAGTTTGCAAATGACTATTTATACCAGTATGCATATAATTTTTAAATATTTGTAATGTGAGATGTTGAATGAATAAAACTTTTAATTCAAATTTCTTCTTAACCTTTTTATTTTAAAACACTAAAAGCAGCAGCCATTTGTGGAAACACTGTTTTACTGTTCGGCTGGTTGAAGCCCTGTAGGGCCTGGAATGTGATTTTGATGGAGTGCACAATGTGCTACATCCTTAGGGCCAAATCCTGCAGTCCCTACTCAAGTCAAAACTTCTGTGGACTTAGAGATTGATGCTAACGGGTGGTAAAAACTGCTGGTGCCCTCAGTAAAATCAGCATGAGTAGAGGCTGCTCAATACTACAGAATCAAGCCCATAAATTGGGAGCATTGCGTGAGGAGGACTGCAGGTGTTAGCCATTTTGGATCAGGTTTTCCTCTACAGTGTGCTTTGAGAACAGTCTTGAGAGCTGAATACTGGTTATATTTTGTGAATTCAGTGCTTGTGGAGGTCTGAGATCACTGTCTGAAATTTCATGTGACTTTGCAGTGACCCTCAAGCAGACTCAGCACCTCAGTGTCTATTTTTATTTGTGCAGTCTTCAGCATGTCAACCAGGCCAAAGAGTAGTAGCCAAATGTTCAGTCTCCTGCTTCCACTTGCTGCCCTTCTGCTAGTAATTAACAGGGACAAAGACAAGCCCAGGACAAAGCAGAAATAATGGAATGTTGGCTGAGAATTAAACCTAACTGGGCAGGCAACACATCTAATGAGGAGAACAGCCCCGAGCCATTGGCAGTGCAGAGCCTCAGACCGTGCGAACCATGTCAAAAAGGCTTGGCCAAATCTGGGCTAGAGCCAAGCATGGAATGGACAGACAAAGGCCCTTGTAGATTAACCTCTACCCCTAACACACTTTGAAGCTTCTGAGGGGGGAAAAGACTAAAGATTTTTATAAACAAGTCTGTTAAGGGGCTTTACAGTGGAGACTGTTTAACACGAAGGGCTTGTCTCCACTTACCGGTGGATCAACGCTGTGGCGATCGATCTGCCAGGGGTCGATTTAGCAGGTCTAGTGAAGACCCGCTAAATTGACTGCAGATCGCTCTCCAATTTACTCGGGTACTCCACCGGAATGAGAAGAGTGTCTCCTGTCGACAGAGTAGTGTGGACCCCACAATAAGGCGATCTAAGCTATGTCGACTTGAGTTACGCTACTAAAGTAACTCAAATTGCATAGCTTAGATCGACTTTCCCCCCATAATGTAGACCTGTGTTAAAATTTAGACATGTAGGGCTGTAGCTTCTGCTATCTCTCTCTCACAAGGAGCTTCACAAGGGATTTTAATTGGCACCACTTCAGCACTCTGGATCCCCCAAATAGCTTAAGCATTCTCACTGTGCTAAGAATATCCAAACTGTAGAGAATCTGAATTGTCCGGTAAGGAAGTTGCTTTCCACCTGGTGGAACCATGCTTTGGAATCTGTGTGCATGCCTCCCAAGAAAATACAGAAACTCCCCAAAATAGTACAGAATATTTTGCCAGTGAAAGACTCAAATCCATGCCTTTTGTGATAGCTCTGTTCCCCACAATCCTACTCTCTGCATGTAAATCAGCTGCTCATCTGAGCAATTAATTTCCTATACCATGACGTAGGTACATAGGTTTCAATTTAAGAGGATCTGTCCTGCCAAGTGCTGAGCGTCTTATATGAGGTGCTGGGCAACTTTCATTGGCGGTTGAGGCTGCTCAACGCCCTGCAGGATTGAGGTCTACTCACATTGGCTTCAGAAGATGTGTACATAAGGAAAAGTTAATGCTTTTAAGCAATGTCCTGTTTAAACAAAGTTTTCATTAATAGACTTAATACTGAGAGTCCCTCGACTAACTAACTAGCTTGTCACCCATCCCCTCAAAACAGATATTTTAAAGACAATGGTCAGCAGTCTAATTGGGTCATAAGCACAAATTTACAGAAAAATGTGAATGTCTCCTTAGTAATTAATTCCTCATTACAGCATTTTGTGCCAGCCAAATAGTCCCAGACAGCATCAACTGTTCTCTGGCATGTGACGTGCCTCTTTACATAAGTATTAATTATAGCTCCTTTCCTTCTGTTGCTGTTTTGTTATGGATTAGAGGTGGTTTGACGTACCAAAAAAAAAAAAAATTGTTCGCACACCTGCCTAACACCCACTTTCAAGAGAAAACAATCTTTTAGAAAATGGGGGGGGGGGTGCGGGGGAAGGAAGGGGAATGCTTTATCTGCAAGTGATTAAAAAAAAAAAAAAAAGTATCATGAACATAAAGGAAGCTTAGTACCTGAATGTGGATTTCTGGTATCTTCTGATGCTGTATCAATAGTCTTCCTGCCCAAATAGTGCCTGATTCATAGGAATTCATGTGGAAAAGCATTAGCAAAAAGTTATTTACTAGAATGGAAACACTGACCTAACTGACTTTGGGGGGGGGCGGGGGACTGGGTGTATATTTTAGTTGTGATGTTAATAAACTGTCTTTAGCTCCTTCCATCTGAGCATCTCAAATTACTTTATAAACTTAATGAACTAAACCTCATGGCACTCAGGTGTGGTACATACGCACTATTACCTCTATTATAAGGAAGCTGGCACAATGAGTTGAAGTGACTGCCCAAAGGTCATACACGTTGCAAAATGAAAGTTGTTGCTTTTGCTGGTGTGTGCGGCTGTTGCTGAAGTTGACTTGCTTAGAAGCAGCTTTCTAGGGAAGCAGATTTATCAAGGTCCTTTTGAAACTGATTCTGTCCTGAAACAATTAAAATGAAATATCACGGGCAGGCATTAGAAGGTGGAGATGCACGTGATAGGTAGAACTCCAACACCACCTCAGCACATAAATCTTTGGTAAGTATTTTCCTTTGCACAAACTGTTCATTGAACACAACAATAAATCACAATTTTCTCTGGGATACCACATTCACTCACTGAGCTGATATTTTTCCACATCAGTTGAGAGAGATTCATTTTGGAGGGGAAGACAAACCTATAGTGTAGATTTTCATCAAATGGTTTACTTTAAAAAGGCTCTTTTTGCTGCCAGACTGATTGCTCAGAAGAAACTGTTTGTTTAGCAAATGTCTATTATGATTCTTCAACTCATATTTATTCAGTGCTATGAAAGCCTGCTCAGACCATAGTCCAAAAAGCACACTTCTTCCCTAATGGAAATCAAGACAAATAACATTAGAAAGGACAGATGAGGGAAAAACACTGACATCTCTTCCAATGTGTAAAATAAGATGATTGTGTGTGTGTGAGATATATAAGGCAAAAAAGCAGTCTCTAGGGTAAGAATATACATGCAGCTGTCTTCAGTTGTATAAATTTAATTTGAAAAAAGACTGACTTGATTATTTAAATAGATTGCATCCTAAATCCCCATTTAGAGGTGGTTCTGGAGAGAATCTAACTGAAACTAAACACTCTTTCATGCTGTCAAATATCACCTGCTTTCAAGGCAAATTGTAGCTTATGTACCTATTTTTGCTTGGAACGGGAAGTCCTCTGGATTCTAAAGATTTCATTTTTTTTTTTAAATCCATCACTGAGGAGATAGAGAAACCCCAGTACCCACCATGGCTATGGAACGGATGACAATTTTGTGCTCCCCTGCTGGTTTTATGGTAGAATTCTTCTAAGATGCAGGCCTAAATTTATGATACTGGTTCAAATATGTTTCAGAGTAACAGCGTATTAGTTTGTATTCGCAAAAAGAAAAGGACTTGTGGCACCTTAGAGACTAACCAATTTATTTGAGCATAAGCTTTCGTGAGCCACAGCTCATGCTCAAATAAATTGGTTAGTCTCTAAGGTGCCACAAGTACTCCTTTTCTTTTTGGTTCAAATATGTTAACGTAAGAGGGCAAACTTCCAGGGGGCCACTTTAGCTGTCTCTGTAGACCATGAAAATAGATCTGTTTTTTTTTTCTGACAAAACACAGGTTGATTTTTTTTTTTTAAAGTTATTTCAGTGGTCGTGAAAGATACTGGCTTGATAAACTGTGAGATGGAAGTCCTCTGGCCACAGAGTAGATCCAGAATAACACAGCTAGTGGGTGTATAAACAACATGTCTAAGGGCTGCCCTGGAGGGACAACCTCTAAGGGTATATCAGGCTTCATGCCTATTTAATGGCTGGAGTTTTAGTTGGAACTGTTAACAAGGGAGCCATTGTGGTGGTGGCTTTGTGAAGTGTATACCCCTCCATTTGGAAATGGAGTGAGACTATCCACTCACTTCGCATGCGATCATTACAAATTATCAGAGTAACTATTTTTGGTAACAACTGACTACCTGAGATTTGAATGGGTATCCATGAACTGAAAGGCTTCATGTTTCATTACCAGTTCCTTAAACCATCCAGTCCACATTTGCTAGATGGTCTCTAATACCGATCTATTCATTGTCAGAACTTTGTGAACATGCATTTTTCCTTTTGCATTAAAATTCTATGAATTTTGTTGCTGCAGTGTTCCCTTCTTAGACTTTGATATAAATAAAAATCTGTCACTGGGCATTTCCACATTGTGGAATGGGTCAGATTACTTTTCATGCGGAGTTATGCGTGAAGAATGGTGAAACGATTTAGATGGCAGAATGGTATTGTCAGTATATACAGAACTGTGGCTGTTCACACAGTGTGTCACATTAACTGTGATGTAGTTTTGTCATCTCTGAAGGGTATGAATTCACACACATTGTAATGCATTTAAAAGTTGTCCCATTCCAAGACAGTTTTCAAATGTTCACTTAATCCAAATCATCCCAATCTGCTGCTGAGTCATATAAACTAATTTGCTCTGAGATATATACCCTGTTATGCAGGTGAAATAATTAAGACTCTGATTTAAAAGCACCCTTATTCAGGACAGTACTTAATTTTAAGCATGTGCTTAAGTGCTGTCCTGTAGATGAATATGTGCATATGCTTTTAAGTGCTTTCTTGGATTGGGGCCTAAAAATGTCCTTTTATTGGATTTATATTTGAAACTCAAATTTTAGTTTTGCAGTGCTCACTGTATATGTGGCACTTATAGGAGTGTTCATAATATAAGCAGCATAGAATTGCCCCCAGCTTTGCTTCAGCAGGACCAGCTGTTCACAGGCAGATGCTGCTCTGTACACATTGGCGGAATCAACTCCGTTCTCTAATCAATAGCAAGAAAATTTGCTCAAAGGTCAGTTTTTCAGGGGGTTGTCTTTTTGACTCGATGTTGACAGCAGAACAAAGCGGCGATTGCTATAATTTTCTTTGCAGAGAAAGCTCCCAAGACAGATGCTCCACTCTGTTCTCTTTTGGCACCATCCTTATGTCATCTGAGACATATGTGACTGTAAGGATTGAAACAGTACTGCGAAGATCTTTCATGGTTAAACAAGGCAGATGGGGTGCTGAGGAACAAGTGTACTCACTGATATTTATTACTGTACTCAAATGGAATCATCTCACACATCCAGTCTGACGTATAGAACCTGTGCCATCAATACTACATTAGCCAGCAGCCAAATCTTGGGCAGTGATCATGTTAGATCGCACAAGCTAAGAAACCTCAGACTTTCGGTACTTGAACAGAAGGCCCTGGAAAACCTAGTATACTGCCAAATGTATTGCTGGTGATTTAGCGATTCACATTCTGAATCTATACCCAAGCACTGTCCCCAGCATAGTGTTAAGAAGAGCAGTGCAGTGTTGTACCTCGTGTAAAAATTAATTTTACCACTTGTGAGGTCACTGAAGATCTCATCACATTTTTTCCAAGACAAACAGTAATAAAACTTAGCATTCCAGCCCCCCTAGATGTAAATGGGGGAAAAGCATCATTATTCTCACTTTGGAAATTAGGAAACTAAAGCAGAGAGAGGTTAAATGCTAGTAATTTATCCAAGGTGTCTCAAAGTCTATGACAAAACTGGGAACAGAACTGTAGTCCTGTCTCTGTCTTCTACTCTAACTAATAGACCACAACTACCTCTCTAAAACTGTTAATCCTGGTGCCCTAGATCAGTGTTTCTTAATGACTGGGACGTGGACCCTGAGAGCTCCCTGACAGTTTAGGAAGGCAGCAAGCTGGTTCCTGGTATCAAAAACTTTGAGAAACACTGCCTTAGATATTTTCAGTTTTGGTGATCAGTTTGTCTATCTAAATTCCCCTGCGGTTTCACTTGACTTTGGTATGCTTCACTTGTTATATTATAGGCAGGCTTGGCAGAATTTGATTTTTTTAAAATAATTCCAATGGATAATACCAATGTTTATTTGTAAGCATTTTTCCAATTTTTATTGATTTAAATTTCCACAGTTGTGAAAAATGTATGGAGGGCTGGACAGTTATTTAATGACAGTAGACACTGATTCAAAAAGTGAAAGCTTTATAACTATTAAAACACAAACTGTCAACATCACATGACAAAATATACAAAGTAAATAAATAGCCTTAAATCAAACTAAGTTTTCAAGCAGCATTTGTTTTGCCAATCTGTATGTTTAGATAAGCAATTGGAAATATTTTTTGTCAGTTTGTGTGTGTATGGTGAAATTCACATTTTTCAATAATCTAATCCCTCCAAGCCTACTCATAAACTTCTAAACCAGAGATGTTAAACTTCTTGTGAGGTGAGGGCTGAATTCCAGTTTTGGTTATAGTCCATGGGCCCACTCATTTAATGAGAGATTTGCAAAAAGCTCCAGGGGAGGTTCAGGCTTTTATGTACTAAATAAACTTTGTTGTTTACTATTTGTTCAGTACCTTTCTGTCATGTTCAGCATCACTTAGTGGGAAAATATACCCCTACCTCCCTTAGGCCAACTGCTAGTTCTGCCCTTTGTTTCTCTTCTTTCACTATCATTTCCCCTCTTTCTTTTCTTTTATATCCATTCCTTTTCCTTTCCCACAGCAACTCCTAATTCCCATCCCCTTGGATTCACAGCCGCTCTTTCCCCCGTTCCATGATTGGCACTGAAAGAGGCAAGGCTGAGAATCAGTGTCTGTATTAGGCTGAAGGCCTTGTCTACGCACCCATTTTGTAGCAGCGCAGCTATTTTGGTTAGGGGTGAGATTTTTTTGTTACTGATATAGTTATACCAGTAGCCCACAGTGTGGATGCAGTTTTATTGGTATAAAGGTGCCTCATACTGAAATAGATCATTCCCCGTCCCTTATGGGAATGCTATACCAGTATAAAACGTAACTGCATCTACACTAGGAGTTTATACTGCTTTATCTGGTATAGTTAAAACAGTACAACTTTTGCATGTAGAAAAGAAGTTCGTTCATGCTGTAACAAGATAAACCAGAAAGGGGGGGTGGGTGGGTGGATGTGTGTGTGTGTGTGTTCTCACCTCTCACAACTACTATTTTAGACTGACAACACTGCATGGGTTTACACTTGGTTACAATTTGGAAGGCTTTCTTCACAACCATGTGTGCTAGAAATTTACTTTAAAAAAATGAAAACGCAGATTCTCCAGAATCAGCAACCTTTGGCATGCGGGCTGCCAGGGTAAGCCCCCTGGTTGTCAGAGCCAGTTTGTTTCCTGACCCGTCCTCAGGCTGGGCCGATCGTGAAGCAGGAAGCAGGCGCGGGCCGAGGCATGTGCTGGCCACCACTTCCCGCAGCCCCCATTGGCCTGGTGCGGTGAACTGCAGCCACTGAGAGCCGCAATTGGCCAAACGTGTGGACGAGGCAGGTAAACAAACTAGCCTGGCCCACCAGGGAGCTTACCCTGGTGGGCCACGTGCCAAAGGTTGCCAATCCCTGGTGTATAACGTTATCGTTATTTTTTGTATGTGCCTAGGAGCCCTAGTACTGGACTAGGACCCCATCATGCTAGGGTCCATATAAACATACAGTCCCTGCCCCCCTAACGATCTTCAATCTAAATCTAAGACCAGAGATAGCAGATGGATAGAGAGAACGGGGGATTACAGGGGAACAAATGAGACAATATTGCCTAGGGAGTGAAATCTCCCATCTTTGGAGATTTTTAAGAGCAGGTTAGACCAACACTTGTCAGGGATGGTTTAGATCAGGGGTTCTCAAACTTCATTGCACAGTGACCCCCTTCGGACAAAAAAAACTACTACACAACCCCAGGAGGGGGAACCAAAGTCTGAGCCAGCCCGAGCCCCTGCTGGGTGGGGGCAAAGCTGAAGCCTAAGGGCTTCAGCTCCAGGCACGGTCCCTGAGTCCCAATGCCCAGGGCTGAAGCCCTCAGACTTTTGTCCCAGGCCAGAGCAAGTCTAGGCCAGCCCTAGTGACCTCATTAAAATGGGGTCCCGACCCACAGTTTGAAAACCACTACTCTAGATAATACTTAGTCTTGCCATGAGTGAAGGGGACTGGACTAGATGACCTCTTGAGGTTCTTTCCAGTCCTACGATTCTATGCAGATATAAATTTCCTGTGTTGTATGGGTTGATAAAACACTTTCTTACATTTGTGCCTATAGAAATAACTCTTAGACCAAGACCACTGACCAAGCTCAAAAATAGTATGGCTAGTGCTGTTCCCTCTATGGCATACACGTAAGAGGCTGCAAGCCTAAGCTTCAGACCCTAAGCACAGTTGCATCACGGATGCTTATAAACAGCACTCAGCTCTGGTCTGATGCCACTTCACCTGAGTTGATAATGCAGCCTCCAACTAAAAGAGGATGAAAGAGCTCACCAGAGCAACTGTCTCACAGCAGGATGCAGCCATCATGCTACATGGAGTTTAGCATGGCTGCAGTTTGCATGCATGTGCTAAACAACTCTCCACACAGCTATGACTCCTGCAGAAGAAAGATCCTGTAATCTCAGCTCTGGGCATGGCCTTCCCCACAAACACTGTCAAATGGTAAATAATTAGATGGAAATTACTTCACTGAAATTTTTTGGCTGAGAAATAGTGATCACAAAACATGGGAGTTTGCACTGCTCCCATATACGTTAGTGAAAACCTAAGCTGTACTAGAAACTTAGGAAGGAAAAACAATGGTTAAGAACTAAACACTAACATCAAAGACCCTTGTGAAGAAGGAGGCTATATGAATTCTGAATATCTAAAAACAGGTTAGTTTTCCCACTTCTGGAGATATTGGGAAGCATACTCCCCTTTTGCACCTGCAAAATTATAAAGACTTTATATGGCATCAGTTTTGCCAGAAAATAACAGCAGATGCAAAATGGAGTGCTGCATTGAGGTTTCTATCAAAATCAAGTTTGCTTCTGGCAACATATTGGTGGGAAGGATGGACAGAACTTGTCCCATGAAGGATATGCATTGGAAATAGTGAAGAATGAAAGAACAGCATAAAGCACAGATGCTGACCATACCATCCATTTGGCAAGCCTCTTGTAACTCTCATCCACAGAGCTATTGAAGGGACTATAGGAGGGATGTTGAGTGCCAGCTGGCAAACTGAACTCATAGCCAGAAATATGCATCATCAAGTTTTCATGTTAAGTGTAAAACAGTTCTATAATCAAAATGGGTGCTACTAATGTTTATCGATTGGGATAAATGCCTGCTTACATGGTTTGAGACCTTTGTATCTCAGAATCCCTCCTTATACTCTCTCACCAGACAGTCTTAGAGTTGCACTCTGAGATCAGAGCATTCTTAATGGAGCAGCCCTCAAATCTGGAATTGACAGAACTCAAGTTTGTTAACTCATCAGGAACTTTACTAGCCCTACCTGTCTGTTTGACATAACGGGGAGGTATTTTTTTAAATTCATTGATAGTAGTTCAGCTGATAATTGTACTGCATTCACATGATCTCATTTTTATTATATGTGTATGTGGAGGCCATAATAACTGCATTTATCATGGGAAAATAAATATTATTTTTGGCAAAATATCAGGCTGTTTCCACAGGTTGTTTCCTGTTTTTCATGTACACGCACACACACACAAAATGCCCTTTATCTACAATGTATAAAATAGCATGAAATCCTGGGTACCCTGGGGAAGGATTTATTGTCTTTAATTATTTCATCCCCTGGTTCCCACAGCAACGCTGATTTAACTGAAATGGTGTCTTTCATGTAGGTAAGGCTGCCATCTTGTGGAATATTTTTGACCAACACTTTCCTTTCAACTGCACTGTTTATTTTGACGGTCCAGGTGCTATTAAAATGGCTTTTTAAACTTAGGAATCATAGGCCTCATCCAAAATCCACTGAAGTCAATATAATGACCTTTAATTTCACTGGGCCTTGGATCAGGCTGCAAGAAAAACCAATACATTTTCAACATATATTACATTGGTTTCAGAGTAGCAGCCGTGTTAGTCTGTATTCGCAAAAAGAAAAGGAGTACTTGTGGCACCTTAGAGACTAACAAATTTATTTGAGCATAAGCTTTCGGAAGTGAGCTGTAGCTCATGAAAGCTTATGCTCAAATAAATTTGTTAGTCTCTAAGGTGCCACAAGTACTCCTATATTTTACATTGTAAGTCTCATGTCACATTAAAAATACTATGGGAAGAGTCTACCCAATATTTGTTCAGTTTAACTTGTAATTTTTTTGTTCTTGCGACCAATTAACTGCTTCAACTGTCTAAGAAATAATATTCATTGGTATTTTCAAAATTCTTACGTGACTAAGCAAAAGTCAATGGGATTGTGCTTTTATGTGCTGTTGAAAATCCCATCTGTTCTGGAAAAGTCTGATAAGTGGCAAAACCCACATCTGCATATAAGAACATTTTCAAATGTAACAGATTCAGAATCAAATGGGGATCTTCTCAATACTACATCATGCAACCTTTTGACGATGGTTGCACTGCGAACACCACAATTTAAAATACAAATTTGGGCAGAAATGTACACACACTGGTTAAATCTGTATTTACACATGTAGCTAAGGCCAGTGAAAACTTTGCACTAATTAACAATCACAGCAGGCTAGGGTCAAGTTTATTGGATTATACTGATGAATTTTAACATTCTATAAAAGCACCCACAGCAAAAAGATGTCAGTTGATACCGTGTTAAATCAAAGTATATACATAAAATAAATCAGTATGTCTCCAGGTGGTGGTAACATAAGAACCAGACTTGAGGTGGTGATAAACTTTGAACAAAGCCTTAAATAACATGGATCAGATTCAACCTTGCAGAATCTGATTCTAGCAGGGTGGGCGATATTCTGACAAGTGAGTAAATTATGTCTAGCTTTTCCATCCACAGCAGCATCATGGCAAAGGTGGGTGAGTGGATTTTGTTGCTGCTCTGTCAAGTTTTCATGGCAGTTTTGCAATACTGCTTGTACTGAATTCTTCCCTTAGTCACCGTGATTTAACAATGACCTATTATTACATGCTAACAAATTTGTTACCCATGTACAGTTAAGAAAATGGTTTACTGGCTTGTGACTCTGCAAGCCATAGCACAGAACTTGGAATTGTGAGTCCTGTATACAACTGATAAGCTGATTCTCCAGTCCCCCCAGGAGCACAGTACAGACTCCAGTTCACCATGTCCTACTGCCAGCTGCTGCAGGACACTGAGCTGAGACCTGGCTCATCCCAGGCAGCAGCTATTAAAACCGCAGGTAAGTGCACAGTATAGCCACCCTGCCTCTCCCCGCCCATGTGAATGGGCTTTCCCAGGGCCCATCCCTCCATTTTTAATGGACTCCCCAGGATTCCCGCTTCCCCCTCTGAATGGGACACTACCTCTACCAATGGTCTCACCCCTCCCCGCCCAATTCCCAGTGGGTTCTTCTAAGCGAGTCACCCCCTCCCAATGCCCGCGGCCTCTCCCCCCCCCCAAATCCCAGTGGTCTCTCCCAATCAGGTCTCGCTCCCACACCCAAGGAGCTCTTCCAAGCGGGTCCCTAATGGTCTCTCGCACGCCCTTCGCGGTTGGTTTGGCCGAGAGCTGTCCCCGAGTCGCCTGTGAGAAGAGCGAGCGCCCCCGCCTCAGTATCCCTCAAGGATGAAGCCCCGCCCTGGCCGGGAGCGCATGCGGGTAGTTTACGTGAACAGCTTCGGCACCCACCGCTGCGGCTCCGTGATCCAATATGGCGGTGGTCCCCGCGGCCGCTGGCGCCGTGAGGAGAAGGCCGCTGCTTCCGGTGTCGTAGAGCGAGAGATGTCCTCTCCTTCCGGTCTGAGCCGGAGGCAGGGGGCGGCTTGTGGGGTGCTGCGGGGCGAGGCGGCTGCCGCTCCTAGGGAAGGTCGCGGAAGCCCCTGGTTCCCGGTCCCGCCTAGCACCGGTCCCAAGGGAGCTGGGTCGTGTGCTGCCACCCAGGGACCGAGCCGGGGTGGCCAGGCCGGGGGAGCCCCCAGTCTCCGGGAGAGCGGGCCGGGGCTGCGGTGCACACAGAGCAGAGCCGGCGGCAGCGTGCAGGCGCCCGGCAGCCAGAGATACGGTACGCGCCACCCTGGAGAAGGGATGGGCTGAGCGCAGGTGCCCAGTGGGCGCTGCCCCAGTGGGACGTCCCCTAGGGGCCCAGCCGCAGGGGCTGACTCGAGCCCCCTCTCTTAGTTACGTGGCGATGAGGCTAATCGCCTCCTCACGTCGGGCTCTTTGGCTGAGCCAGGCGGTGCCGGCATCCCCCACCCCGTTGCATGGCTGGTAACCGCCCTTCCACACAACACACGAAGGGACCCTCACCCTGCGCCAGGAGCAACAAAACTTGGTGCTGTGGGGTGGGAGGGAGAATGAATAACTTCCTTGGCAGGTGAATGGAAAGTGACAAACGCCCAAAGCACTTTTGCTCCAGACCCAATACACTGGTGAGTGGCGAAGCTCCCTCCCCCAGTCAGGGGTGAAGGCAGTTTTGTCCTCTCGCTGTTCAGCCTTCCACATTCCTCACCCAGTAGAACGGGAAGCAGAGTCACTGACATCCACCCCTAGGAGTTGGTGTGATCTGTCTTCAGCTCCTGGATCCTCACTGACCTTGCTTGGTAGACCCCAGATGGAATAGTGCCTTTGGAATACTTAAGCTCCCGTCCATGCATGTCTCAGTGTTCTTTTTCTTTGTGTCTGGGCCCAAATGAGATGGGGATAGATGTCCCTTTATTTGCTTTTTTTTTTTTTTTTAAAAAGAAGGTAGTTTTTCACTTCCAGAAACTTTTCCTGATGTGTTGCTAAAAAGATCAGTTTTGCTGCACAAAATAAAATGGAATGAAAATTGAGAACTTGTCTCAGCTCTCAAGATAAGAGCTTGGGCCTTGAAGGAGATTCTGGGGAAAACTGGGAGGCTGTTTCCTAATTTTACAGAACTGTTAACCCTAGGAAGTTTTACAATGTCCTTGTAAACATTTTTTAAAAACCTTTAAGGATGATAGATCCAGATTATCCATTACTTTGTATTTCAGAAATAAAGACAACAGTTCTACTAGTTTATTATGTAGTTATTATTTGCTATCACTTATCAACAGTAAGAGCAGTTAATAGAATTTGTGAGAAAGCTCAAATTAGGTTGAGTACAAAGGTGAAATCTTCATTGAATATATTAGTACTGGTATGCCAAAATAGTTTTAGTACTAGGAGCAAGCGAGATATCAGACTTCAGTATCACAGTACTGATTACCATCTTCACTTCAGCTCAAACAGGATTTTAGTGGATACTATCAAGAAAAATGAGAACTAGAAACCAATGGTATGTCACCTGAATGCCTAATGTCTACACTTTCAATTGTTATAGAGTATTAATCTCTGATTTAAGCAGTTTGAGATATCAGACACTAATAATTGTAACGGAAGAAAAAACAAGGTGTTAATCAGAATTATGTGATATGAAAGTCTGATATCTCACAGGCTGCCAGTGCTCGAAATGAATACTGTTTACCATGGAAGGATGGAGAATCCCCACTAGTTGGATACATTCAAGCTCTTTAATTTTAATTTTTCTTGTAGGTGGTCTTCAAATGAATCAGGCTGATAAGTTTGGATTCCCTTTCACTTCTAAAGTTGTTAATAAAGTAACAAAACAGAAAAAGGAAAAGGTATAAAATATGGGACTAAAGTGAACGAAAGTGTTAGCATTTTAGAAGATAAACTCCTTGCACTGTGTGTGTGTGTGTGTAAGAAAGAGTTTGTGTGAGAGATGCAAAAGGATGTTATAGGAAGTTTCACTTGCAGGAATGAAAAATAGTGTTATCTTCACCCCTTTAGAGTTTGAATCTGCAAGATCTGAGAATTCTGGCCCCAGTCCAGCAAAGCACTTCAGCATGTGCTTAACTTGAACACCAGTAGTTCCTTTGATTTAAATGACTAACCCAGCAATGCTTTGATGGGTCAGGGTCAGAATGCACCACACCTTGCTGGATTAAGCCCATAAAGGCCAAATTCTGTCCCTACTTATATATTTTAGGTAATGGGGTTGCTTAGGGAACAGATAAGTGAGAGCAACATTTGGCTATTAATTTTATATTAATAGAAATACAAAATTACATTCTGTGTCACAAATGTATTTCTGGTACTATTGAATAGTTCACCCAATGCTTGAAGTTAAAAAGACACATTTTTTACAATGGTAACTCATGAGATTTACCATACGTGAGATACAAGTACCCAGATATAATATAATACAGTAATGTCATCGATACATGATTTAAAACAAGGAGAAAACAACTGACTTCAGAGGTGCAGCTAGCACTTGCTACACTGTCTCTTCTAGCTCATTAAATAGTCTCCAAGAAGAACAAGGAATGTATTTTACATTTTAGCACTGAAGCTTAATGAAGAAGAAATTATTAGATTTAGACTAGTTTCACAGTGGATGGTCCAGATATCACCATAACTTTGGCACGTTATAGCAATGTAAATCCTGTAATCTCCTATTTTTGATGTGTTAGCATTCTGAATTTGCTAGTGCTTCAGTTTTGGTATTTATGATGGCAGTTTGAAGTGTGCCAGTTACAGAGGGAATTTTTTACGTTTTTCAACTGAAAAGGTCAGTAGATAACATAAAAGTAATTAATATTGATATATCAGAACAGGTCAGGTCATTGCCATGCTGGAATCTGAGTGCTAGGTCTAAATTGCACTGCAGGCAAGGGACTGGAAGGGAATGTGCTTGACCCCTGGGGAAAAGGATCATCTTGCATCTCTCTCAGGTATTCCCCTTCTGGCTGACCCTGAAGAGACTTTAATGGCCCCAGAGGGAGTCACATCCAGTTCTCCTCCTCTGGAAGGACAGGATCACAGGTGCTGGGTAATGAGAGATCCAGGGAAGAAGGTGAATGAAAAATATGGAGGAATAATCCAAACACTGATTTTAGACTTGTAAAATAAATGTGGTTTATGTTCAGACATCTAGTTAATTACTAGAGTTGCAAACAAAGCAGATTGACTACCCTTGAATGTTCAGTGCTGGACAATTCAAAATCCTATTTCAGAGGAGATTTTTAAAACAAACTTTTTGACACTGTTCATTGAGAATGTTCTTCCTTTATTTTTAGTCTGAAGTCTTTCATGGAGTGTTGAAAGTAATTTCAAAAATGCTTGAAGAAAATGAAAAGTTTAGAGGCAGACTGTTGACTTGCAGTCAGTTTAATACTGAAGGTAGGTAATGAACCAATAACATTACATTAGCAAATACAAATAGGTTCTTAATACATATGCATTGACTTAAGAGCTCCAGATTTGGGGTCTATTAAGTTACTTTTGGGTGATATGCTTTCACAACTCATGGATTTTATTGCATACTTGGTCATTGTTACCTGTGTTTGAACTGCCCTCTGGTTCCGTTGAGAGTCTTGTAGTAAGTGCGGGTAATTGGAAGGGGGTGGTGGCAGTAGCTCTTTACTACACTGTAGAATATGAAAAACATGAACATAAAAGCAAGTGGAGTCTGGACATTTTTCTGACCATGTAAAATATGTAATGAAACTATTGTTCACAGATGCCTGTACTAGTTAAGGGAAATACTTGAAGATGAATAATTTTTTTCACCTGCAGTATAAAATTGGAAATAGTTTGACTTCATGTAAGTCATAAATTAGTTCCCACAAATGTGAATTGTAACCTAATTTAACATAACTAACAAAATTGATCCTCAAGTTGTGGCCTGACCACAGCTATTTCATTAGTGTAAAATGACACAGGAATTAAAGCTGACACACGGAATAGATGCAACTGCAGTTAGAGTTGTAGCTACCACTACAATTTAAGGTACTACAGTATATGCTTACAAACAAAATTGGAATTTCTGGCTTGGCAATTTGATTAGTTTTAGGAAAGAATTTACCAATCCATTAAATATTATCAGTTAAATTAAAAGTAGCATATTCTCTCCGTGTCTGCTTAGCTCACATTAGTATTAATAGAAGTTTTTCTCATGCTGGGAGGACAGGGTATATACTAAAATAGTTGTAAGCCATTGTTAGTGACTTTTGTTAGTAAACCTTTGTATATTTTACCTATATGAATTTTACACATACGTGGTTCCAAAATGCTTCCATAAGACTGTACTCAATATAAAATGCTGCCTTACCATTTATGTGGTAAGACTTGTTGTGTCTGCTTACTTGTTTGCATGAATGGAATGTATACAATCCTACAGTTGTATATTTATTGTATTTGACTCATGCCCACTATCTCTCCCCTTTGCAAACACATGAAAGTGGGCATTGAATATGGGAGTTTGACAGAGGTCAGGCAGAGAATCCTTTTTTCAGGCTTTTGCATTCCCTTTCTGTGGGAGGGGGTTTGGCTGGAAGATATTTATTGTTGTTCCACTGGCCATGTCTGTGACCTCTCCACAATCCTCTTCTGTAGACTTGCTATCGAAGCCAATGTAAAGCAGTGCTCCTCAGCATGTGAAAACTGTGGACCCCATACATAGCTTTTCCTTGGCCCTCCTTGCACCCCTGAATCATTGTGGGGGTTCATTCGCACAGCCCTTATTTGGGCCGAAGGATTTGGCATTTATGCAAGAAAAATAACTTCCCTAGTTTAATTTTTTTTAAAAAGATGTCTTACGTAACCAGGGAGGAGAAATAGAGCATGTGGTAGAGCTTCGGGAGGCAGTCACATGTTAGAGAAAGATCCAAGGCAATTCTCTCAAAGTCTGGCAACAAACCAGAGAGCTTTGTTCTTGTTTGGGATACATTCGCTTGTTAGGATTTAGAGCCTTTTAAAATTATGGCTGCTAGTTTAGTCTTCCATTTGTTAAGGGGGTGGTTCTATGAGCTTTCCCAAGAGGCTTGTGTTTATTTCAGGAATGAATGGACATGGGCTGTTTACTTCTCAACTGTGTTTTCAGTTGCCTGTCTCTTTTATCATCTGGGGTTAGATAACATCATTTATCTTTAGGTTTAATTTGCATCCACTGAAACAAACTTTATGTTATCCTCAGTCCTAATTGCAACTCATTTTTCTTAAGCTTTAATTGTGATTCTCATTAAGCCATATTTAGCTGAAATTCCTTAACCCTAACACCTCCTTTTTAACTAGCAGATTTTGCACAGTATTGCCTTAAGGTGATAAGTCTCCTATTGATCTAACTTTTTCATTAAACAAATAGCAAAAATACATTAAAATATCAACTCTGAATCAACTTCAGTTGTGCTTTACAATTTTTTAAACTAGATTAATACAACTAGCAAATTAATCTTGCATTTTATTATCTCTGTGGATAGTTTTATTGGAAGATGAAAGTCTGTTGCAGTTTTAATGCTACATATTTCTTCAATGGAAAACTAGCAATCAAAATCAGATACAGTACAAATGAAAATGATGTCACTGTGCCTACACATTGTATTCTTCCACAGGCAGTGATGTGAACCAAAGCTCACAGAATGAGGCTTCATGCATGGACAGAGTAAGTAGTCAGTCAAACGCCAAACAAGTTCAAATGGCAAAATAAGTTTTTAGTAAAATCAAAATATATGCATAAAGATATTGTTGAAAGATACAAAAGCATGATATTTTTATAAAATACCATAGTCATTTAATATAAAGCTCAAATATGGCTTTTAAGGGTCTAAACCATGCTTGGGAAGAGGAGTACGAGCATCAGCCACCGTCAGCAGCAGTGCTTTATACCTCTGAAAGACTGGGAAGCAATTCTTGCTATACCTTTTACTGCCTGGTTCATTTCTGCCAGTGTGTGTGTGAGACAATGGCTGTGATCCGTTTTGCTCAAACCCTCTCTGGGACTTCTAGTTTGCTGGCGGTGCTTGCAGCCTCCCAGCTCTTTGATGCTGTTTATAGATGTCCCTGTGCAGGAGCATGGGAAAGGTTTCATTGAGCTTTTTCTTCTTTAGTGCACCAATAAAGAGTTAGCTATAACATGTTTTAATAAATATGGGTCATTGTACTTTTAAAGATCTGCTGAAGCACATATTTGTAAATAGATAACTGAAGTGCAGAGGCCAGAATTGTATACAGTTTGGAATTATTTTGTTTTACATATTTAGGCTCACTAAATTAATATGAGATGTCTCTTCAAGGAGTTACTTGGTATATAAATATGAAAGTTAAACATTCTCAAATGCCATAGTATTCTGAATAACATAAGTGCAGTGTCATATGAAGATGTATGTTTGTTTTAGTCATAATGTTCGGGCCATCAGTTAAATAGATTTAATTCTAAACACAGTGGACTAGACCGTTGGTCTGATCTAGCTCTGTGTAGTGCAGGATCTGATTGGAGGGGGTGCACAATGACTTGATCCATATCATTACACCCTCTAATAATCCATTCTTAATCCCGGCAATGCCCAGAGGTCAGTTTGATTGTGCTGTAACTTTGAGCAGCCTCAGAGTTGTTCTAATTTGCATCTGTCTGTAATAGCTTCAAGGGGCCATTCCACTAGCCAATGATTACAGGAGCACAGCAGCATTCCGACCATGCTATGTTTCCCCAAACACAACCCTTAGTCTGCGGGCTGTGAAAGAGTGAAGTATAGGGACAGCTATGCTGGTTATATAGCACTGAAGGATTTTAATACCTGGGGAGACATCAGCAGGCCACTTAAACCATACTTAAATCTGCTTTGCACCGCTGTAGCATTGCAAATGAGACTTAATGGGGCTAGGGATCAGAACCAATATGTATGTGTTTCAGAGTAGCAGCCATGTTAGTCTGTATTCGCAAAAAGAAAAGGAGTACTTGTGGCACCTTAGAGACTAACCAATTTATTTGAGCATAAGCTTTCGTGATGCATCCGATGAAGTGAGCTGTAGCTCATGAAAGCTTATGCTCAAATAAATTGGTTAGTCTCTAAGGTGCCACAAGTACTCCTTTTCTTTTTGCGAATATGTATGTGATAAGTCTTTTTATTGAACTGTAGCATTTTTAGAATTCTCAAGTGTAAATTAAAGGAATCTGAATAAAACCTTTAGCCTTTGTCATGTACTATATAACTAATCTAACTGTTGCATGTATTTTTATATTCAAAGAAATTGCTTCAGTTTTGTCATCTTTTTTTCTTTAGAATGAGTCCATCTTTGGATGGGTGTAGCAAAGAAGTAAACGAAGATTCAGTTTCAAGTGTTGCATTGAATTAGTGTTCATTTTAGATCTGATCTAACACCCATCTGACATTAATGAAAAGACTGAAAATGATTTCAGTGAGCGGTGGATCAGAGTCTATATAGTTTGTCTGTCTAGCATTTTCGCTTGAGAGCTACATTTTAATATGGGTTCAATTAAACTTTTCAGTTACAGAGTATTGTTTTGTAGAAATCCTTATTAAGCATAATACATCACTTAGTCACTGTTAATTTTTGAAGGCTTTTTAATTAATATTATAGTGTGATGGTTTGCATTCAAAAGAATAGTAATATTTTATGTTAATTATATTATGAATATATATGTTGTATAATCAGCAGCTTGTCAGAATTGTTAACAAACTTGTGTTTAGTAAAATAAAATGTCATACAAGATATCTCTGTCTAAAATGAATGAACCACTTTCATTCTATTGATTTAAATATTTTTTATTTTATTATATTAAAACAACATACAATCACCCTTCTGTTCATTCATCCATTGATACATGAATCTCAGCAATTATTTCAAATAAGAATCCAGGTGAATCCTCTCTGCCTTAGACCATCAGGCACATAATGATAGTTTCATAATCAAAATGTATTGTTTATCTGGGTGCCCTTAATAGTAACATGAGGTGATTTTCTTGTGTTATAGAACCTTAAACTTGGAGTTTTGATTGATTGTTGAAACCTTTTTAAGGAGATCGCAAAAATAATTTTTCTGTGTGTTGACAGGTTTCAGAGTAGCAGCTGTGTTAGTCTGTATCCACAAAAAGAAAAGGAGGACTTGTGGCACCTAAGAGACTGACAAATTTATTTGAGCATAAGCTTTCACGAAAGCTTATGCTCAAATAAATTTGTTAGTCTCTTAGGTGCCACAAGTCCTCCTTTTCTTTTTTCTTTGTGTGTATTTCCTCTCTATAGATAAAACATTTATCTGTCATTCTTAGACCTTTCTTATTCTTATGAAAGAACAAATTTTCATTTCAAAATGTCTCAGCATTTGCAGATATAATGACTAAAATTTCAGCAGCGTTGAGCTTTAATAACATGCTAGTGGTTGTATCATCAAGCAGCAAAACACTTGGGAGGGTTTAAGCTCAGTTTTCCTAATGATAAACTGCAAGTAAATAACTAGGCTATACCTTTTTGATTGATTACTCTTGCATTAAAGTTCTCATTTTGAACAGTGATGTGTTGTAGAATAATATTTTAATGTTACTCAAAATAGTTGACATTTCAGCTTGGGGAAAGAAAAATATTCAGATAAGCACATGATCATTTTTTCAGGAAGAGTAAAAGTTTGTAAGTCCCTTGATATTTGCTTAATACGCAGTGGTGTTGTAGCTGTGTCGATACCAGGATATTAGAGAAACAGGGTAGGTGAGGTAATACCTTTTATTGTACCAACTTCTATTGGTGAGAGAGGCAAGCATCTGAGCTTACACAGAGGTTGAAAGCTTTCCTCTTTCACCAACAGAAGTTGGTCCAGTAAAAGATATTACCTCACCCATCTTGTCTCTCTGTTTGCGTAATAGATATGTAGGGTCAGAATTTTTTTTTTTTTTTATTGTTTATGGGTTGGTCATTCTATTTCTGCAGTCCTGACAATATGAAAAGCTGTCTGAAGCTTCTTTAATGTATATAAATCCCAGATTGTGAGCTCTAGAGTTGGTTATTTCTGAGTAAACTACTACTAACAGGTTTCAGAGTAGCAGCCGTGTTAGTCTGTGTTCGCAAAAAGAAAAGGAGTACTTGTGGCACCTGAGAGACGAACAAATTTATTTGAGCATACGCTTTCGTGAGCTACAGCTCACTTCATCGGATGCGTTCAGTGGCTGCATCCGATGAAATGAGCTAATGTGAAGGAAGAATGCCCATGCTGTTCATGTTCTTTGGATAATAAATATGGACTTCACTCTCCACAGCTGTGCTAAATTGACTTTAAAAGGAAGAAATTACACTACATAACAATGGACCTGATTCTTCACTATTTTGCACTTTGTGTAGTTTGTGTAGTTTGTATACCTGCCTGAAGTGAGTGTAAATAGCTGCCATTGTTATTTGGTAATATGTTACCCCCATATTGCACTCACTGTGCACATGTGTAAATGACTACATAGGGTGCACGGTTGGGGAGAATAAGACCCAATGAGATAGATTGAGCCTTTTGCTGGTATAGCTGTCAGTGCAGCAACCGGGGGAAGGTAGTTTGAATGTGCCGTATTCAGAGGCTGTGGGGGTGAGCTAGTTTAGCACCCAGTATTATATCCCAGTTTTAGCGTGGCAGTTTCCACAGTATGCATCCGATGAAGTGAGCTGTAGCTCACGAAAGCTTATGCTCAAATAAATTGGTTAGTCTCTAAGGTGCCACAAGTACTCCTTTTCTTTTTGCGAATACAGACTAACACGGCTGTTACCCTGAAACCAGTGTGGCTTCTGTGGCTCTTTACAGGGACACTAAATAGCCTGGGTTCAGGTTGGCTATGGCCTCTCCCATCTCTGATCCATCCCTCTCCCTTCTCTGGCATGCCTGTGCCCTGCCTCCACTCCATTCCCAGATCACTCTAGGATGCCCCTTATGCCAGAGTGGTAGGTGGGTGTAGAGTACCCTTGCACTGAGGGTATTCTCTGGGGCACTTTAGACTTGTTCTACAGCCTCTTTGTGTTAGCTTGGCTAGCACAAAGGGATTGCAAGGCAGTGCTGAATAGGGCCCAGTATTGGAATAGTAGTGAAGTCTGGCTTCTGACAATAGTGGCCTGATTTCAAATACACTGATGTAAGCAGGGGTAATTCTACTGAAATCAAAGGAGTTAAACTTCTGAAAAACAAATCTGAAAGAAGAATCAGCTCCAGTATGTAGACCCTATGCAAAGTGCAATCCACACCATGAACATCAACTCAAACACCTAAAGCACAGTGAACAATATTCCAGTTATAGTATTTTGTGTTCTTAATTTGAAGTGCTAAACATAAACTGTAGATGAAATAATGTGTATTGTGCTGAGTAATAACATTCCTATGTGAACCAGACAAGTGGCATCATCAACAGGAAAAAAGAGTTGTCACCCACAAGAAAAAAATTATTTAAAATTGATTCATTAAAAGGAACAAGGAATAAGCAGTGAAACCTCAGCGCATCAGATCATATGCATCAGAGTTCAGCAATCAAATGACCCTCCCTTGATATCCCTTAACAGTTACCCCAGAAAAGAGAAGCAAATGCCATTTCATCTTGTTTCTGGGTAGGAATAGTATTTTTCAGTTTTCTTTTCAAACTACAAATAAATTACTTTGACTTTTTAATAAGAAATCTAGATGGGTATGTGCTCAATGCAGGGCAATATATGAAATTATGGGTGTGACAGGTTGGATCACAGAAAGCCCCTTGGGACTGCCCACTGATGTACCAAGACTACTGCCCCTGCTTTCCCTGCCAGCTTGAGACTCCAGCACCCTGTCTTGCTGAGCCAGACACGCCAGTCTGCTCCAACTCAGACCCAGGGTCTGAACCATGTGCCCCAAAGCTGCAGACTTAACTGAAAGCAACTTAAGAAGTGTTCCTGTCTTTAACACTCAGATGTCCAACTCCCAATGGGGTCCAAACCCTAAACAAATCAGTTTTACCCTGTATAAAGCTTACACAGAGTAAACTCATAAATTGTTCGCCCTCTATAACGCTGATAGAGAGGTTTGCACAGCTGTTTGCCCTCTTCCCCCCAGGTATTAATATATACTCTGGATTAAATAATAAGTAAAAAGTGTCTTTATTAAATTCAGAAAGTAGGATTTAAGAGGTTCCAAGTAGTAACAGACAGAACAAAGTGAATTACCAAGCAAAATAAAATAAAACATGCAAGTCTAAGTCTAATACAGTAATAAAACTGAATACAGATAAAATCTCAGCCTCAGAGATGTTTCAGTAAGTTTCTTTCACAGACTGGATGCCTTCCTAGTCTGGGCACAATCCTTTCCCCGGTACAGCCCTTGTTCCAGCTCAGGTGGTAGCTAGGGGATTTCTCATGACGGCCGCCCCCTTTGTTCTGTTCCACCAACTTATATATCTTTTGCATAAGGCGGGAATCATTTGTCCCCCTCTGGGTTCCCACCCCTCCTTCTCAATGGAAAAACACCAGGTTAAAGACCGATTCCAGTTCAGGTGACATGATCACATGTCACTGTAAGACTTCATTACCACTTGCCAGCACACAGGTATACAGGAAGAGTTACAAGTAAAACAGAGCCACTTACAGTCAATTCAGGGGTTGGTCTGAGCAGGTACCCCTTTGCATTCAATTTACAGTAGTGCAAGTGATTACGATAGTTACAGAGCAATGGATCAGTCTTTTGCATTCCTGAGTGAAGTTAATGGTACATTCAATGATGAGCTGCCAAAATCTTAACAACTGGTTCCCTCCTCACCCACCCCTGCCCCCTGGGGACTCCTGCCCCATCCAACCCCCCCCCGCATTCCTTGATGCCCCCCAAGACCCCTGCCTCATCCACCCCTGTCCCCTGACTGCCCCCAGAACCGGGCAGAAGGGTGTCATAGGCCACCATAGTGGGTGCCCACCCCGCCTCTAAGAGCCAGAGGCACCTGCCGGGCGGCGAGGTGGGGAGTCCCAGAGGTGCTTACCTGAGGCAGCTCCCAGGAAGCATCTGGCAGGTCCCTCTGGCTCCTCGGGGCAGGGGAACGTAGCTAGGTGGGGGGCAGGGTGAGTGGCTGCTCCCCCACTGATCACATCAAAAGTTTCCCCTGCACGCCTCCCACCTTGGGTTACCTGCTGCAGCGCGGGCGGCCCTCCTCGCATCCCCACCCCCACCCCAGTTCACCTCCACCTCCCTGGGCCTGAGCAGGAAGCTGCAGCCTGCTTCTCAGCCTGCCCTGGCTTCCTGTGCAAACAGCTGATTCGTGGGAAGCCTGATGGGGGCGGAGAAGCAGGGCGGGGCAGTGCGTTCAGGGGCGGAGGTGGAGCGGAGGTGAGCTGGGGGTGGGGCGGGGAGCTGCCGGTGCGTGTTCTGCACCCACCAAATTTTCCCTTTGGGTGCTCCAGCCCTGGAGCACCCATGGAGTCGGTGCCTAAGGCGCCACTTTTGGCTTGTTAAATTTAGAAGTCCTTTTAGAACCCGTTGTCCCTCGCGGATTCTAAATTTAACAACCGGTTCTAGTGAACCGGTGCAAACCAGCTCCAGCTCACCACTGTGTACATGTCTGTTCTGGCTACTAGGGTCAGTCAGCAGGATTCCTCTGCACCTCCATACATGATTTTACAGCCTGAAACCCAGTCAGGATATTAACACTTAGCCATAGTGATGTTAATTAAATATTAACATTGTTAGCTGTTTTCTGATTATTTCAGCAGAAGCATTGAGCTGTTTTGGGATTTTGAGCAGCCTTTAGGGCTGTGAGCAGAGCTTGCGATGTTAGGCGGAGCTTGACCAGAATAGCAAGGTGATCTTCAGCTACACTGAACATTAATATACAGTGAACCGTGCATTTAGGGAAACCTCCAGTAGGCAACTCCCTGTTTTAACTTTTAAGTATATCCTCAAGGCTTCCGCTACATTTTTATGACCTCTAGTTTAGCAGGCGATAGAGTTTTGTTGCTCCTTTGGGAGGTGGCTTAAAGCTGATTTAGCAGTGTATGTAATTTTTTGTGTATGGGTACAGTAGGTCCTGTAGGTATGAAAGAAAACAGGATCCAACTATTTAAGGGTCTTATAAATATATTTGCAATGACATGAGCAAAGTTTGTATTTTGGCTAGTATTGTAATTGCCTAAGTATTTATGTAACTATG